ACCACATGTGAAAAGCTGGATGACTAGGTGATGATAGTTGTGAACAAAATGTATATGTGTAATACATACAATGTAATTCCAAAAGAGCTCTAAGAAAAGAGTAGGTAACTTTAGTGATTTATTATTATTTTTTTAACTTAAGAGAAAATGCTTTTTTTTTACCCCAAAGTTTTCTTCAGGTTTCTCACACTAAAGAACAAAATGCAGGGTTTTTATTCACAAATTTGTAGCATTTGGGAAAATTAGCAAATGAGAAGTTCAACTTCAGGTATGTTACACTGGAAGCTATGATAGGATATCCAAATGTTGAATTTTCTTAACTTTTGGACAAAATTTGATTGCTTTCACTTGATTTAGAGTTAAAGGAAGCAAGATCTTTTACTGGCAAACTGTGAAAATTTATTGTAATTAAAATGTTCAGGCCAGGATGAGAGAAGAATGAGAGTATAAGGAAAGAAACTAAGGAGAAACATAGAGAAGCAAGACTTTTTTGGGATGCAGAAATAGATTGTTATCTATTGATGATAACATGTTTTGTATCCTCAACTGGATTGGTATGAACTGTGTTCATGTTGCATAATTCAGTTTACAAGCTAAGTGGTATATAATAATTAAATGTACAAAATAAACTAAAATACAATTTTAAAAATTGTATCATAAGGGCCAGCACATGGTGTGATGGTTAAGGTGCTGGACTCCCACATAGCTGACCATGGTTCTCGTCCCAGATTCAGCGGCTTGAAAATTACACTGGGTGCATGTGCATGTGTATACAAAAGCCTAAGAAAAGAATGCAGGACAGGAATTACAATGTGGCCTTCCTTCAGGGTGGAAGATCTTTTGCTTTCTGTCTCTCTGTCTCTCCAGCAAGTACATGCTCCCTATAGTAAAAATCTCTCTTAAAAAAAAAAATTATATCATGAGACAGTTGTAAGAACAAGGACATACTACACAGTAGGACATCAGGATAATGCTACTGGGACCAGCAGTTAGTGTAACAGCTATGTTGCTGGACTCTCATGTAGTCGACTGTGGTTTACGTCCTGGATCTGGTGGCTTAAAACTTACGCAGGGCGCGTGTGCATGTGTGCCCAAGATCCTGAGAGGAGAAAAGAGGAGAAAAAATTGCAGTGTGGCTATCTCCCCTGGAGGGTGACTTCTCACTTTCTGTCTCTCTTTCTCTGTCTGTCTGGCGAGTGAACGTGCCCTATAGCAAAAAACTCTCAAAAAAAAATGCTATTGAATAAAATATCCAATAATTTCAATAAAGAAAGTCTATTGATAAATTATGGTAAAACCCAAATTGAAATAATACTTAAATAATATGGAAGGAGTTTATAGTCTCAGTTCACTAAATATTATACCCTAGAATTTGTAAAGATTAAAAAAAAACTTTCAAGCCAGAAGTCTGACTCCAGAATATAATAAAATAAAAACACACAATAATCAATTTATATTGATTATTATTACTTTTTAATTTAAATTTATTTATTTATTTTTACATTCACTGTGTATCATTACAACATACCAAAAGAATTTTCCCATAATGAATATACTGTATTTACATTACAATCAATAATTTTCTTTATTTTTAAGAGTACAGGATATCTTATTTCCAAACATATTTCAATCTCAGAATTCACAGAGCCTTCTGAATTATAGCTAAGTATAAATATTAATGAACAATACTTCTATCTTATTTTATCATTCAAGTGGTTGGAAATCATTTACTTTTGTGTATTAAAAATAATCTTTATGGGACCAGCAGATGGTGTAATGGTTGAATCATTGGACTCCCACATGTTTGACCATGGTTTGGTCCCAGTCCCGATCCAAGACCAGGGGCTTCAAACTCATTCTGGGCACATGTTCATGTGTGCTCAAAATCCCAGGAAGACTGAAGGAGAAGGGATTGTGGCATGGTCATCCCCTCAAGGAATGATTTCTCCCTTTCTATTTCTTTCTCTGTTTCTCTGGTGAGTGCATGTGCCCTATACCAAAAATCTCTCAAAAAATTTTTACTAGTTTTTATTACAAAAGCCTTACTTATTTATTACTGAGAAAACAAAGTGGAACACATCTAAGTCAAATGAAGAACAGATTAAAAAGTCCAATGTAGTTTGCCTACTTGTTTAATTAATGCACTATAGCACCATTAGTAAAAGCAAAAAGATGCATGAATAATTCTAGTAACATAACTCTAAGATCACATGATATATTTCATATTCTTTAGACTGCTCTTCAGAACATCCTAGAGATGAGTAAAGCAACAGCAGAATAATTTTTTATATTATAGGATTTATTTATTTGTAGTGTTTAAAAATTGATATTAACATTTAATAATTGAACACATTGGGGGGTACAATATGATTTTTTTCAGTACAATGTGTAATGATTTAGTCAGGATAATTAGCATACTTGTCATCTCAATGTCTTTACTTGAAGATATTTAAATCCTATCTTTTCATTACTTTGAGTTACATAGCAATTTGTTGTTATCTATACTCTCCCCATTGAATTTTCTAACACTAGAAATTGTTCCTTTATTTGTCTGCAATTCTGTTTCCACTAAGAGACTATCTTTTTCCCAATGGATATCTTTGGCAGCTTAGTCAAAAATCAGCTGGCTGTATATATGTAGATTTATTTCTGGGTTCTCTCTTCTGTTACATTGGTCTGTGTGTCTGGTTTTTTTGTTAGTTTGTTTTTTGTTTTGCCAGCACCATGCTGTTTCTGTTACTATAACAGCACAATAATTTTTGAGAGTTGTAAGTATGATAATGGGTTCTATAGTAGTTTTCCTACCAAGGCTCGATTTGGCAATTCCCAGAGTTATGACTATTACTTGGATTTAAAAAATTATATCTTGACTCTCTTTGTCACAAATCTGCTTAGCTCATAGTACAAATTTTAGAATTAGCTTTCTTTTCTGTTCTTTTTAATTTTATATAGAACACATTTTATTTATGTTTATACTTGAGATTTCCTCTAGAGCCTTTTAAAGACTTCATTCTTTCTTTACACATGAGTTTGTAAAAAGTCATACTGGAAACAATTTATGTTGAGCATTTGCAATAGGCTCAACACATAATCTGAGTTTATTTTATAGTAAATAAATTTTTGAAAAGAATATAGTCCATGGGCTAGCAGGTGGCATTGAAGTTAAGACTCTGGATCCCACATGGCTGATTATATGGTTCAAGTCCTAAACTCACTGGCTTGAAAATTACACTAGGTTCATGTGTATGTGTGCCCCAAATCCCAAGTAGAGGTTGTAGGAGCAGAGATCATGATTTTTTACTGCCCCACCTGTGTGTGTGTGTGTGTGTGTGTGTGTGTGTGTCTGGTGAGTTGGTGAGTGTGTACATCATGTCTGGTGAGTTGTTGGGTGTGTACATCAAAAAACAAAAAAAAAAAAAAAAAAAGAATATGGTCCTTATGAAGAGTTGGTATCACTGTGAATATAGCTATGATTTTATATTTAATGAAAAGGGTTTTTCTTATAAAAAGTGAAAGGTGCTTTATAAAGTCATGTGTAACTTGCCACATTACTCAGTGAGACCATGCTGAGAAAGAAACACTGACACCACCCACTAGCTGTGAACTGGGAGGATGAAGACCTCCTGGCTCTGTATCTGTTATATTTAGTAAACTAAAAATGCCAGTGTTTTCTTTATATGTTTCTAGTAATTTCATGTACAAATGGTGACAACACAATAAATGATCAAAGAGAGGTTCTGCACTCTTTTTGTAGTGCTAGAAGAAGAATTAAGCATAGAAATGCATTTATGTGCTGCCATGTATTTTGACTGAAACATAATCCCCTTTAGTAGAAGCATCCTTGTACTCATAAATGATAATTCATAAATTAATGAAAATACTTAAGAATATCCAACACATTTTTACATTTTTAGTGAACATTTTATTTTGTAATGATTTTAGATTTGCTGAAAAGTTACAAAGAAGTAGAAAAAAATTTCAATGTTCCCCGAACCAATTTCTCCAGTGTTTAATATCTTACATTCCTATGGTACATTTGTCAAGGTGAGGGCATTACTATTGGTGTATTATTGTCCATTTCTTAACTAACTCCAAAGTTTATTTGGATTTCCTAATGTTTAATATCAAACCACTCTCTCTCTCTTGCAGAGCTCAATCCAGAATACAGCAGTACATTTAGTTATGGAGTCATCCAGTCTCTTTTGGCTATGAATATTGCTCGGTCTTTTTTTTTTTTAAGAGCTTGGCTGTCTTGAGTAGTCATTTCCAGCTATCCTGTGAATGTTCTGTAATCTGGAATTTTTAAATGTTTTTCTCTCATGATGTGTGTGGGATTTAGGGCTTTAAAAAGTACCAGTGAAGGGAACCAGCAGTTAGCGTAATGGCTATGTCGCTGGACTCCCACGTAGTTGACCGCGGTTCGTGTCCTGGACCCGGTGGCTTAAAACTCACGCCGGGCGTGTGTGCATGCGTGCCCAAGATCCCGAGAGGAGAATGGAGGAGAAGGGATTGCGGCATGACCATCCCCCCTGGGGGGTGATTTCTCGCTTTCTGTCTCTGTGTCTCTCTCTGTCTGTCTGGCGAGCGCACGCGCCCTACAGTGAAAATCTCTCCAAAAAAAAAAAAGTACCAGTGAAATAAAATAATTACATTTCATGAAATAATAATGTGGAAATACTTCCTTGTAATACAAAGTTCTGTAGGTTTGGAATGATGCATATAATAATGTCTCCATCACCCCTGTACTGCAAAGAGCAGTTTTCTGCCCTAAAACTTCATTGAAAGTGCCATTTTTTTTACGTTGAAAACCATTTATTTCACTGGAAAGAAAAAAAGTGACCCAATTCTATAGGTCTACTTTTGAGCCAAAAAAGAGACCCAAGAGCAGTGACACTTCACCCATGTCATTCCCAAATCCGACACCCACTGGAAGCAGGAGGCAAGAAGGAGACAGTAGGGACCCCACCAGTTTCTGCACACAATGAGAGCTGCTGGGAAAACAAAACTTGAATGGGAAGCTACAGAAGTATTGAAGGATATGAAGAACAGGAAAATGGGCAGGAGACAGGAAAAGGTCCAAACTTTGCAAGGTAAATTAAGGTCCACAGTTCCTGAGGGACTCAACCTACAGAGCCGAGAATGTCCCAGGGAGATGGGGTACCAAGAAGGGTGTATTCTCATGCACAATTACGGCTTGGAATTTCAGCCCACACACATTTCCACCGAAACTCTGTTATCAAGGCCTCTGATGGCCTCCACTGCATCCTCTGCCCACTCCATATGTACAAAAGCACAATCTTTCACGATGTCACATTCAATAACCGAACCGTCCTCAAACTTGGCAGGAGGTTCCTTGTTGATACAGGTGGGACTGATGTTGCCCACGTGCAACTTTGTCGAGGTTTTGCTCTTACTCTTGCTACCTTCCGCACTGATGTTTGCTCCATGCAGCCTGCAGTGGTGCGGGTTGGTATGGCATCCTCAGATGCAGTTTGGTCTTCTATGTGCATAAAGCCACAGCTCTTAAGGATGTCACATTCTAGCACCTTTCCAGATTGCTCAAAGAGTGAGTGGATCTCCTGTTCTGTGGCCTCCCTGGGCAGGTTTCCAATGAACAGCTTCACCAACTTCTCGAAATAGCCCACACAAAGTTCAGCAGCACCCTGACGCCGGGTGCGTGTGCCTGCGTGCCTAAGATCCCAAAAAGAGAATGGAAGAGAAGGGATTGCGGTGTGGCCATCCTCCCTTGGGGGTGATTTCTCACTTTCTGTCTCTCTGTCTCTCTCTGTCGCCCAATAGCAAAAACCTTTCAAAAAAAAAAAAAAAAAAAGAATTCAGCAGTGCCTCTGGGGTGGATGCTTCTCCAGGGGCCTTGTTTGTTTGTTTTTGAGAGTTTTTTGCTATAGGGCGCGTGTGCTCGCCAGACAGACAGAAAGAGACAAAGAGATAGAAAGTGAGAAATCACTCCCCAGAGGGATGGCCATGCCACAATCCTTTCTCCATTCTCCTCTCGGGATCCTGGGCACACACACACACGCGCCCGGTGTGAGTTTAAGCCACCGGGTCCAGGATGCAAACCGCAGTTGACTACGTGGGAGTCCAGCGACATAGCCATTACGCTAACTGCTGGTCCCCAAGTGCCATTTCTAATCACTCACTTCCTGCTTCCCTAATGCCTAACAACCATTATGTTTTCTATCCTTGTAATTTTTGCCTTTCCCGGGATGTCATATAAATGGAACTATACAATATATGACCTTTTGTATATGACTTCATTCACCTAGTAAAAGTCATTTAAACATTTACTCATGTTATTGCATTAACTAATAGCTTGTTCTTTTTGATTACTAAATACTATCACATTGTTTAGATATTGCAACGTGTCTATCCAGTATTCTTTTGAAAGAAACGTTGGTGTTTCTAGCTTCTAATGATTATGATAAAACTGCTATAAATAGTCATTAAGGATTTCTGTGTAACCAGACAGTTGCAAATCACCCTATTTCTAGATAGTATGCTAAGTTTGTGGTTCAATGTATAAGTAGCCAAAACATTTTCTGTTATTTTGTTGTTATTGTTGTTTTCTTGGCCACTGTAATAGGTGTGTAGTGATATTCAATTATGATTTAATATCCATTTCCCTAATGACAAATAATGTACTGTTCATGATTTTTTTCAACTCTTTCCTCTCTCAATCTTCCTTTTCTCTCACAACCAACCAAAGATCATTGGGGGTCATATGACCGATATTCCTGGCAAATGGCTAACTCCTAATATTTTGTAAAGTTAAATGAATGCAAGCAGCAAAAGAACAGATGACAAGGTCACTAAAATTCGTCTGTGCAATCCCCTTTCTAATTTTGGATGGGCTAGTTTATGAGATATCTCCTTTTAACCTGTTTGAGAACTTTTCCATCTTTTGCTTCTCAGAGTAGATATTTCTTACCTTTAGGAAATTCTTACTTATTTCCTCATGATTCTGGAAGGAATATCAAGCATGCAGTCCAGTACTTCTCAAAACATACAAAGATCTATATGAACTATTCTGAAATGATCATAGTACACTATCTCAACATACAAGATTAGCTTGTGTCATTTCTTTAGGACCTTATTGTAAAATAAACAATCTAAATCTACTCTAAGAATTTTGAATTTTCCACCAAGTCTTTATAGCTTCATATTCATTAAACATGTAAAATCCAAAGGCTTAAGAGGGGACTTTTTTTTTTCTTTTTTTGAGAGAGAGAGGGGAAGTTTATGCTGTATGACACAAGCTCACCAGAGAGACAGAAAGCAAATCACGCTCCTGATGGGATGGCCATGCCGCAATCTCTTCCCCTTCATGCTTTTCTTGGCATTTTGGGCACAGGCACACACATCCAGCATGAGTTTCAAGCTGTTAGGTCTAGGACTCGAACTGCAGTATGCCATGCTGGAGTCCAGTGAGGTAACCGTTATACCATTTGCTGGTCCCAAGAGGGCACTTTTTAACTTTTTTGTGACATACCAAGATATTCAGTTTCCATACTGAGGTAACAACATTATCCTTGGTAACTCAGTCCACTTCAATATATCCAAATTTCCATTTTAAGGTTTTCCTTTTCCACCACAACTGCTGGTATTAATTTCAATCTCAAATTTGTTTTGGTTATACATGAAAGAAATTCATTTTAAACAAAAAGTGTTGAATTGATTTATTTTGCTAAGGAAGACTGTAGAGTGGCAGGAATCAACAGCACAAGGGTTAGAACTGGACAATAAGTGCCTTTCTTTGCTCCCCCTCTCTCTGTCTTTCTCTCTAGGCTCTAAACCTTGTTTATATATCTGTAAATCCTCTTCTTATCTTCACTTGATTCTCTTGTTTTCATCATCTCCTTCTGTAAAGTAGATTTTTCCATATGTCCGTAAATGTGGACACAGATGGTTTCAGAGTCATACATTTAAAACTCACGAAGTAAAAGGAAAAGAACTATATGTTCCTAAGGAATCTAGAGAATTCCAATGTCTTTAGTTTGAGTAACTTAGATATACCTTATTTGTTGAGATAGAGTACTATGATTGTTTGGGGGAAGAAAACATGTATTCTTGTATGTTTTTGGAGGTGCTAGACCACATGACTGACATTGTCTCCAGAACCATGACAACACAGGTAAGATTTTCCTAGAAAGCAAGAAATATCTACTTTGGCAAATAAAGAATGGAAAAGTTCCCAAATGGGTAAAAAGAAGAGCTCTTGAAATTCATCACACATGCTTCTAACTTTATGGGCTGATTGTCCATATGAAGTTAGTATTCACAAATGAAAACTCAAAATGGCATTATTACATCTTGAATTGTGAAGACTTTATTTTTGTTCATAAGTCTCCCTCTGAAAGGAAAAAATTGCCAAAAGACTCAAACATAAAATATTCCAAAGTTTTTCCCTGATGAAATATTTGTTTGGCTGAAATATATTCATAATTAGGAAAAATGAACCAGCTGAACCCTAACTAGTGACTGAGGAAGGATACTTTAGATTGTTGAGAGGAAGATTTTCTTTTTAATTTTAAATTAAAGACATGCATAGGAAATAAGTATGTAGATAATCTCCAAAAATGATAATTTAAAAAATCACACTGACCTATTTTTAAAGTTTCTCTGGAAACATTCCTATGTTTAAATCAGTAGGTTTAAAACAGAGAACTAGTTCTGTTTGAACCTAAGAATAATGGTTTGTATAGAAAGTATTTGCATGTCTATAAATTAGGTTTTACTTCTCTTTCAGCAATCATGTAAGAGGAAACCCTCTTACTTCTACATTGATATGATATAGAAGTCATTGTCAAATGGATATGTTTAAAACATGCATGCTGGGACCAGCAGATGGCATAGTGATTACGTTGCTGGACTCCCACATGACTGACCACAATTTGAGTCCCAGACCCAGTTGCTTCAAACTTAAACCAGTCTTGTTTGCATGTGTGCCCAAGATCCCAGGAGGAGAACAGAGGAGAAGGGATTCAGGTGTGGCAATCCCCCTTGGGAGTGATTTCTCACTTTCTGTCTCTTTGTCTCTCTGGTGAGCACACACAGCCTATAGCAAAAATCTCTCTCAAAAAAAAGAAAAAGAAAAGTTAAAACACACATGCTGTGAGTAGAAAGATTTTTATGGTATGTAGGTCACAAATTTGATACACCTTAAAGATGAGTATGAAGGACAAAAGAAGAAAATGTCATGGGGCCACAAATTTCATTTCTAGGACCAACCTCAAGTAATCTTTAAATCCAAAATATCACCTACATTGGTGCTGTTACAAGTATCAGGTGGTGCCAGTCCTCTGCTGACAGTCCTTCACTGGCTCCTCATTATACAGCAATATACAACCTTACACCATCTGGCTCCCTCCTAACTCTGACCTCTTCCTTGCAAGTCTCAACACCCCTGACTCAGGACCTCTGCTCTTGCTCGTTTTCCTGACCAAATACCTCTCCCAGATATACTCAAGTCTCCATTGGAATATAAACTTTTAAGAGCAGAGATTTTTCGGTTCTATTCTCTAATAATATCCCTATCATCTGCCCTTACAGTTTTCAACACATAGTAGGCCAATAAATGCTTTTGGGAATTGAATCAAATGTATTAAAGAGAGTCTGTATTAAGCAACATATTATATACGTACTAAACTCTATGAGTTACGTTAAAATTGAGTTCATTACTCCTCTTCACACAGAGAATCACACTATCTCATCATCCTGGTGTCAACAGAGTGTTTATGTCACACAATCAGTAACTAAGTATTCACTGTATTATGTACATCTCTGAGGGGAAAAAATGATCAGGATGTTGTAGGTGATTTAGTAGATATAAAAGAAGCAAAATAAATTGTTGTTGCTTTCCAGTTAAAGGGATAAGACATAGACTTAGGATATCTGTTATACTGAGCAATCTAAAGTCATGTAAGGCATTGCATTACAGTATGCATGGCAAACTGCCCAGGCATGGAGAGAGGAGGCTGCAGCTGGCTCCTCAATAATAGATGGATGCAAGATAGCCAGAAAGGAAAAAATGAACAATTCAGAAAGAGGAACATGGCAACAAAGGGATTTTATAGCCAAATAAACTTTTATTTCCTTCAATAATAGATATGGAATATGCAATGACTTATTTTCACTAATGTATTTTTAAGAGCTTATTTAAGGAATTAAGTCATATCTTGACACATTCTAAATTGGATTATTTGTTTATGACCTTAAGTGCTCTTTTTGGTAAAAGATTTGTCCTTTTTGCAAAAAAAACAAGTTCGCTTAAAATAAAATTAGTAAGAAAATATGTTGCAAGGTTAACTAATTCATTAATTACATTTTCAAGTAAGATAATAACGATAAATATTATTTAACATATTGCTAGATCTCCGGAGAATACATTTGCTCTTAGAAATAAGCATATGAGAGCTATTTAAATGCTTCTAAATGGTAATCAATTTATCTGTCTCCTCAGACCTCAGAAAATAACATTAATAATCCATTAAGAATATATAGATATAATCTTTAATTTCAACTACCAATCATTCAAAGGTTGACATTGGGTCATACAAAGCTCTTAACTATTTGCCTGTTTTTGAATTTCATAAAATGGATTTGAGATATT